CGGTACCATTACCATGATCCCAGGGTCCCCTTTTTTCCAAGTATCCATCATGTGCAAGGGCCTTGACAGCCAGTGACTAGACCCAAGCCAGCCCCTTGGTTTGGGCTGTTTTGGAAACAGAGGTGCAGCTTTTCCTGTGAGCCTTTTGGAAGAGTTTGTTCTGGCCTCCTTCCTCACCAAAGTGGGATATAAATGCAGAATCTAGGGGCTTGTCCAGTGGCTGCACCCTGCTCCGTGTGTCAGGATTGATCTTTGGGGATTCTGACCACCACACCGTGTCCCAAAGCGGGGATTTATCTGGCTTTAGTGACTTATTTGAATCTCTTGTTTGTCCTGCAGGAATAAAGAAGGACCCAGCCAAGGCCTTTGTGCCCAGGACTGTCATGATCGGGGGCAAGGTGAGGTGATGTCTTCTTTGCTCCTTGCTTGATATTTACCCTGAATGCACAAACCACCATGCTTTTTGTCCGTGCAGACTGTGACCCCACTGGAGCACCGGCCGCCCAGTGGGCTGGACACCGCGGTGGCTCAGAGCCAGCATGCGCACGGACTGCCAGAGGCCCTCTCCTCTGCTTCTCCAGCTGTGCTTGTGGACTGAGTTGGTTCAGTGTCCATCAGCGCAGCAATAGGAGGGAGCTGAAGGGGACCCCTGCCTGCCAGGCACGTGACAGTGGGGGTCCCCAGCCCCAGCGGGCTTGCTGGACCTCCATCTGATGGGGCAGTGCCCTTTCTTACATAGCCACCACCCTTCCACACCTGTGCCCAGCTCTCAGGTCCCAGCAGGCTGCCCACTCACTCCCCTGCACTCGTGTGCTGAGTGGACATAGATGGCTGGTTGCTTCATCAGCCGGATGTGCACCTGCTGGGAGCTCAGCCTAGCTTTCTTTCATTTTATTCACGACGGTGCATGCTTTTGGACATGTGATCATGGAGTCCCAGTGTGTTGCCATTACTCCTTGATGGGTCTCCTCTTTGTGCTCTGTGCTCTAGGACCTGTGTCCCCACCTCTCCCACTTTTCCCCAAGAGCCTCAGCGTCATCTGAGAGCATGAGGAACACTGGGGCAAGCTTCTCTATGAGGGGCTATGGGGCGGAGCCCAGGCACTGTCTGCCCCACCAGCTCAAGCACACATGAGGGTGGGTGGGAGGTATGAGCACCTGCCTGGGGCCAGTGAGCCTCAGCCAGCAGCTCAACGCCTGTCGGTTCCTTTGTCAGTATCCCAGGGTGCATTTCTTAGAGGTACGGGCTTTCAAACAGTTCTTTAAATGTTCACTATTAAAATTTTTCAGCCTAGAGAATAGTAGAAAGCATGGGAGTAATATCTATACACCTATCCCAGACTCCTACAGGACCATTTCAAAGTCAATTCCAGACATAGTATCACTTCACCTCTAAATACTTGACACACATTCCCAATGATGTTTTCCTCCCAAACCGCTACAGAAACAGACTCTTTTTAACACCACTACACGATTCCGTCTTCCCACGTAGATAGTAAAGTTACAAATGTCTGGAGCAGTTTGTTTGACTCTGGACCCTGGCAAGGGTCTCCCCTAGCAATTGCTTGCTGTCTGCTGCATCTTGTCATCGGTAGAGCTTCCCCCCATGCTTGCCTCTTCCCCCTCCCTGCAACTGATTTGTTACAGAGATTGGGTTGTGTGTCTTCCAGATATCTGGCATGTTCTAGTATGTTCCTTAGTTCCCTGTGTTTCTTGTAAGTTGGTAGTCTAAAAGTCCTCCTTTTATCTTCTCATTTCTGAAGAACTAACTACAGTCGGAGACAAGTCTGAGGCTGCCAGGCTTCAGCACAGGCTGATGTGGCCGTTGGGAGAGGCTGTCTGCCAGACTGCATGCAGGACAGGCAGGGAGGCCACTCGGCCAGGCGTGACTTCAGCAATCCAGCACGGGGCCCCAGGACCCTCTTGAGGACCCTGCGCTGCCCTGAGCACAGGTGTGTTCATACTGAACTTGCCCTCCGTCTCCAGGCGGCCCCCGGTTACCACATGGCGAAGATGATCATCAAGCTGGTCACATCCATCGGCAGTGTCGTCAACCACGATCCAATTGTGGGCGACAAGCTCAAAGTGATCTTCCTGGAAAACTACCGAGTGTCTTTGGCTGAGAAAGGTAGGCCCAGGGTGGCCATGTTAGGAAAGCCCGCCCCTGCCTGGCTGCGATATGGGTGGTCATTGCTGGTGGGGCAGATGAACTCTGCCCTGGACAGCAGGCTCTCCCAGCTGGAAGGGGCCTTCTTCTAGCAGTGAAAGGCTTTGGGGAAGCGCTCTGCCCATCACCAAGTGCAGAGAATTACTCTCAACCTCAGACTTCCTTTGTCTCTGTACTTTCTCACTTCTGCCTGTGACCTCGTTCCTCCCACTTCCTCTGCTCCCCGGCTTTCATTTCTGCTCCTAGAGCTTGCTCTTGCTGGCGGGATAGGCTACCAGGTCGGCCTCCTCCCTCCCTTCTCCCATCCCCAGAGGATGCTTCTGCTCTCACCACCGATGTGCTCTCAGGGGCATTACCAATTTCTGATCTGGGCCGGCACCTGCTTCTTCTGTCCTTTCCAAGGGCAGCTTAGGGCCTGACATTGCGACCCTTGTTGAGAGGTCCATCTCGGGCTGTTCCTCTAAGGGTGTATGCCGCCATCTGGAGAAGTTCCCGCAGCCAAATGTGCCTTGGAGCTGGGCGGGGCTTTCTAAACTGGCCCCTTCTGGAGGTCCTGGCAGGAACCAAGAGATGGGAAGCCTGAGCCTGGCATCCTGGCTCTGAGTAGTAGGTACTTCTGTAGCTCAGACTAGCTGCTGCCTTCTGCCCTGAGTCACTGAGTACTATGCTGTGCAGGCTGACTCGCTCTCCTCTCCCGCCACCTCGGCCAGCTCATCAGACCGTCTCTGGTCCCTCGGCTGTCACAGACCGTATGTGGTTCAGGGTCAGTACTATGGTTAGTTCTTCACTGAGCTTCTGACACGTCTTTGTCAAGCCCTTTGCCGCCTGGAACCTCCCCCTCCTCACTGTTATTTGGGGCCGGCTGGCTCCTAGACATCTTTAGAATGACTTGGGGTGCCTGGTGTAGGACATCAGAGCTGGGGGTCTGGGTCCCGCAAGTGCCCCCCTCCCCCAGCTAGCTCCGTGTAGAGCTGCATGGGGTCTGGGGATGTCCGTATCTCTTTACCCTGGCTCCTTGTGCTGGACCTTGAAGAAGGGCTGGACTCTGCTCTTTGCTGACCCTGAGTGCCAGCCACTGGGCTGGGGAAGCAGCATCGACTCCATGGACAAGATGAGGATGTGGGGGCAGGGATGCCAAGGCAGGGTAGGAAGATGTAGCTTTCCCACCAGCCATGTCTAGGGGGCACAGGGAGCCCACCCTTGGGAGAAGCCTCAGGGCCCTGGCATTTGGGTCATCGTGGTGGCTGGCCATGCCCAGTCTGCATACAGCATAGAGTGACTCGTGTACATGTGAACACAAGAGAATTGCCCCACCTTTGTAGTTCTCTGGTTCCATGAGTCTAGATTCCTCTTAAAGTGCTTGAAGGAGCCTTACAGGCTGATGGCATGAGACACAACTCCTGTCGGGATGAAAGGGAATGATAACACCAAAAGCCAGAACCAGGGGCCCCCAGACTATGGCTGGGCCTGGTCCCTGGAAGGTTCCAGAATAAAGGTCTTTTTTGACCTGGGGTCTTCTCAGGAGTTACCCTCTTGGCCTCAGGCTGCTCTGGATCAGGAAGGGAAGCCCTTACAGGCCAGCAGGGTGGGCTGCAGGGCTCAGGCCCATCCTGGACTGAGCAGGAGGTGGTGCCTACTCTGGGAGCACCAGCCATGGGCTGGAGGAGGGCGTGTGGTGTCCCTACACAGTTCCCATGGCTCTCACGCTGTGAGCAGCCTGTGGTGATGTACCTTATCTCCCATCTGCTTGCAGTGATCCCCGCAGCAGACCTGTCCCAGCAGATCTCCACTGCAGGCACCGAGGCCTCGGGCACAGGCAACATGAAGTTCATGCTCAATGGGGCCCTCACCATTGGTACCATGGATGGAGCCAACGTAGAGATGGCTGAGGAAGCTGGGGCTGAGAACCTCTTCATCTTTGGCATGCGTGTGGAGGATGTCGAGGCCCTGGACCGGAAAGGGTGTGTGTCCCTCCCCGTGCCATCAGGGCACTGCTCAGAGCACTGGGGGGTGGGAGAGCTGAGAGCACTCCGGGAGCCAGGCCCATGCTTGCTGGGGTGATGCCCGCCTGGTGGCTGGGGGTGGCTTTGGGCATGTTGGCCGAGCCCGCTCCTGTCCTGAGCCAGGGGTGGTCTCAGACCAGGGGTGTGCCCGGGACAAACGCCCCGCCACTCACCCCGGAGGCTGACACTCGGCCCCACCTCCCCACAGGTACAATGCCAGAGAATACTATGACCGCCTGCCCGAGCTAAAGCAGGCCGTGGACCAGATCAGCAGCGGCTTCTTCTCTCCCAAGGAACCAGACTGCTTCAGGGACGTGGTCAACATGCTGCTGAACCACGACAGGTTCGTTCTCATGTCCCTCCCCACTGGCCAGTCAGACACATGGGTTTTCCTGGTGGGCCAAAGACGACACTTTGGGGGTCACCCTGGGCCATGATGAGACTTGCTCCCTACTCCAGCCCATGGGCAGAGCCTCTGGCCGCCAACCAGGGCCTGCAGGAGCCTTTGGAGGTGCTTGCCTGCTGGGGGGCCCTGTGGTAGGGGTTGCCGGCTCCATGGTCCAGCCCCAGGCCCCCCCAGCATTGGCTGACTACCCCGAAGGGCTTGACAGGCAGAAGGCGGTTTCCTATGGGGCTGGTCAGAGGTGATTCCTGATCCTGTCTTCCCCAGGGAGAATGGGAGTGTGGGCAGGATGCCCCAGAAACCTCTGGGAGGCGGGGCAGGGTGGGGGCACTGTGCCTCCACAGCCAAAGTCCCACAGTCCCAACTGAGGCAAATGTTGGCCGATGGTGACACCAGGTGATTCAAGTGGAATTAATTTGAGACAGAAATTACGTTGTAATTAATGTTTTATTACAACGCATGGACACGGAATAACATCCATGTTTCCGGAAGCACTAATTTACAGCAGGTGAGCACCGCCACTTGTCTTTTCATGACATTTCTTTGCTCCGCCCTGTTGGTAAGAGCTGAATCCGGTCAGTGCTGAGAACTGACCTCTGTCCCGCTCTGAGCTGCTGTTGGGTTGCTTTCATCTGTTGCTCGCTGGTGGGTGCTGGGGGCCGGCGTCAGACCAGATCACGGCGCCACTCAGCACAGGGCGGGGAGCTTGGCCCTGGCTCAGACTGGGATCAAGGAAACATTGTTCACGGGTTCATGAATGGTCTCTGTGCCTCAGCCATGAATAGAAATGCAGTTCCCTGTTCATAAATCCTACAGTGTTGTCCACAGCATCCTTCCCCTAGATCTCCAGTTCTCACCCAGTTGGGCTCCAGGAAGGGATGGCCAGGCAGAGCCTCCCTGTCAGCCTGTGCCCCTTCTCTGGCAGGAAGCCCCTCAGCCTGTGCCGCTCGGCCCCCCCTGCGTGGGGAGGGTGTCTTGTAAACAACTACTTGAAAGGGCTGAAAACAAGGTTTTTGTAGAATAGTATCCCCAGGACAGAAGTACTGCTCCTAGAGCCACCTCTGTGGCCAGGTAGACTCCGTCATCCCAAAGCATAAGGACCTGGATGGCCGGGGCCTGGTGACCTCTGACTCACCACCTGCCACAATGGCCTAGCCCCCTGTCTCCCGTTTCAGGTTCAAGGTGTTTGCAGATTATGAAGCGTACGTGGCATGCCAGGCCCAGGTGGACCAGCTGTACCGGGTATGGTTCTAGGGCCCGGGGGTGGCCCTGGCAGGGGAGCAGCAGGGGACATCTATGAGGTCCAGTCCTGGGAGGTCACCGTTCACCTTGTGGCCCTGGGCAGGGTGGCTGGGGGCTCGGTGGGCTAAGTTGCATCATGGGCATGGGCTGTTCAGGGCTTCTTAATCATCTTCCACTCAGACGGTCTCCGTTGTCCTGCTGTCCCGTGGTGAGGCTGGTGCCTTGTGACCCCTTGGGCCCAGGCCGCTCTCCACACTGGCATGTTTCCGCACAGCCCCTGAGCAGGACAGGAGTTTCCTTTCTGCAGACAGCAGAGGTGATGGGCTGTGCCCTCCTCCCCCCGTGGTCTGAGCCTCAAAGCGGGTGTGATTGGGAGGGTGTGGGGAGCGGGTGCGAGCCAGGAAGACTTGTGTTTGCACACAGAAAGCCTGTGTTTAAAAGTGAGAATTAGAGTACTTCCTTGGAAAGGTGCAAGGTGCAAGCTTCCATGTTAAGTAGAGTGAGGGACCCACAGCTGTAGGGACTAGCCTTTCTAGGGCCAGACCACTGTAGCCAGCTCCCTACTCCTTGGTAAAGGTGGACAAGAGGGGACCCCTGATCCCAGTTTCTGTGTGGAGCATGTGTCCCTGAGGGAGTGGGCATGTCCATGTGGGGCCTCGTAGGAAGACCCAGGGCCTGAGTTTGAGGGGGTGCAGGAGGGTGTCCCTTGGTACCCACTTCCCTCCCCTTGCTGGGGTTTTCCGGACTCCCAGCCTTTGTGTCTCACTGGGGGAGGCAGTGGGAGAGGATTCTGGCTGTGGTGGCGTGAGTCTGCAGTGGTGGGTCCGATGGATTCTTCCCTAGGTTCTTGGATGAGGCCTGTGGGATTTGTGTTTCTGATGTGTTGTGGTCCTGGCTCCCATCCCCCACCTTTAGGGAAGCTGTCTGCCCTTGGGGGACCTGTGAAAGAACAGGTGTGCCTGGGGCACTAAGTGACCTGGCAGGGCTCTGGGGGGCACCTTTGCTCCCCTGACGTGGGCCTCAGCAGAGTCTGCCCTTTCGGGGAGGCCCCTCTTGATGCTGGCTTAGTCTGGGGGTAGTTGCCAGGCTCTGGGGGAAGCCGTGGATGGGGGACCACTTGGCCATTTTCCCTGGATCCACTTGGCGAGTACTTACCTGGTGGTGTTTCTTTGTAAGGTGGGCTGTGCCACAGAGTGCTTGGCACATTTTGCGTCCCACGGTTTTCTCAGGCTTCTCACCCCCGTACCTAGTCATTTGGTAGCTTTTCTGGTCAGTAAGGGCCCATTTCAGTGAGCTGTTGACTGCAATTTCGTCTTTGATCATCAGGCTGGCCCAGAGGCTGAGAACCCATCTGGGAACAGTCCTGAAGTCCTGGAAGTGCAAGCTGTCTTGCCTGGTACCTAAGATTACTCAGCCTCTTCTTCCCTCTGCAGAACCCCAGGGAGTGGACCAAGAAGGTCATCAGGAACATCGCCTGCTCGGGCAAGTTCTCCAGTGACCGGACCATCACAGAGTATGCCCGGGACATCTGGGGCGTGGAGCCCTCTGACCTGCAGATCCCGCCCCCCAACCTCCCCAGAGATTAGGCACCCTGGCAATGGTCTGCTGTTTCTGGAGGGCCATGGGGATTGTGCTGGTGGCTTGGGGTGGGCAAGGAAGGAAAAGCTCAAAAAGGGAGACGCTCTCCGGTTTCCTGCAGGAAAGCAGAGCTTGCAGCCCTGCCCAGGGCAGCTGGCCCCGCAGCTTTAGCTCACCTGCCCCAAGGAGGTGGGGAAGGTGGAGCCACCAGCTGGGCTCCTCTGAGACCTTGCACGCACCTTGCAGTGAGCTTGTTTTTAGTTTTGAGCCTCTGGATTCTGGGGTCTGGGCAGGTAGCTGTGGCGAAGCCTGGGGAACTGTGTTTTCTGCACCACACATGCTGGCCCGCTGCATGGGCTCCCAGCCTCCTGGCTGTGCTAGTACTCCGGCCAAGCCTGCCGCTGCTGAGTGGGTGCTCTGGCCCAGGGTTTCCAGACTGATCAGATAAAGGGGCCCTAGGATGACTGAGGGGGACATGAGGAGGATACCTGTGCCCGACATCTAGGGGTCCTTGGCTAGGACAAGGCTGACTGATGCAGTTAGCTTGGTTTTGCTTTTTCAAGAGGATAATCAGCTTTCCCAGGGAAATGAAAGTAGCTGAAGCCTTTTCTTGTTTTAGCAACTAAAAATTGTACTTTTGAAGTTTTGTGCTGGGGAGGCAATGCTGGGATGTATTGCCAAGCCCTCGGGAGCCCAGGGTGGGGCGCTGCCTTGGCTGGAGAGGCCAAGTGCCCCTGCCATGTCCTGGGGCCTCTCTTCTCCATTTCCACCAGTGTGACCGCCTTGGAAAGGACTGAGCAGGCCCAGAGAGCCCACTTTCCACTCGGCCTGGATGGCAGGCTGGTGGCGGGAAGGGTGGGTGAGCCTCTCTCAGCTGAGAGAGCCAGGGAGCAGGCTGGTGCGCTTCACCATGGGCTTAATGGAGACATGGGGGACAGCACCCTTCCAGAGGCTCTGTCTCTTTGCATGCTGGATCTGGATGGCACAGGGCTCTGCCCTCACCCTGGGTCCTGATGGCTCACAGAATCAGGCCATGGAGGATTTGCTCATGTGCGCACTTCACCAGAGCTGTGTGGAGGTCTGCTGGGGAGGCCCACGTTCTGAGGCTGTGGTCATACCCCCACCACCTTCCGCTACCCCATTTCTTAGGCTGTGTGTGACCATCACTGTGCCACTTGCTGTTACTGCCTTGTGTGAGAAACCGATTAAACCTTCCTGCCTGTGCTTGGTTGAGCTGGCCTATGTTTCATTCTGTGCCGAGGGAAGGGTGCGGGCTGGGTCCCAGGGGCAGGCCTCAGACCCTCTCTCGTAAGGGCCCATCACTCTGGGATTAAGGACAGACCAGCGAGTGGGACTTAGGGTATGTGTGCTTGAACCACTAGCTCGTAAAAGAATCATCACATCTGTTGTTGTATACACTGTCATCTGGGTGTCGGCATTGTTGGTGCAAATTGCACCTGTCCTACACCAGCCAGTCCTGGCCCTTGGGCATGGAATGCCCTGGGGACCAGAGCATCGCCCCCTAAATTGTGTCGCTGCAGGCTGAATCGAAAGCCAGGAGGGACATGAACTTGGGGCTGTTACCCGCAAAGTTGAGAACTGCAGGACACCGGAGCACCGTGGGCCCTGCTGGTCTTCGGTGGGGGCCGGGGGTGGGGGGAGGGCGCTGAGCAGCTCCCAGGACACCCATGCTTCCAGTAAACACATAGTAACTGCAGAATTTATAGCAGTGCATGTCTCGATCTGTTCCCCCCCACCCCAGGACTGGTTTTGTAATCAGAGGTCTGTCCTAGCCCACAGTTTAAGCTAGTTAATAATCTAAGAAGCCAGCAGGTGGGGGCATCTGGACCTGATTAGCCAACCCGATGGCCCAGCAGCTCACCAGCCCCTTCAGTGCCTTCTCCTCTTCAGTCTGCTTCAGTCTATCAGACACCTATCAGTCAAAATACCAACAGCCTGTATTTTACTTCCTATCCTATCTCACCCCCCAATAAGGACCTGCGGCAGCTCACACAACATTGAAACAAGATGACAAACTGACCTCAGGAGAGTCGGTTCACATTTCAACCCATTTAAGAAAGGCATGGTTTCCCTGATGTGAGAATCACTGTAGACAGGTTGAAGATGCCTCAGAAATGAGGAGGTGTCCCCTGCCTTGGCATCTGGACCCCCTAGCCTGCCCACAGCTGCTACGAGAGACCACAGACCTTGAAGAACAGGCAGGCCGGTGAATGAAGCCCTCTGTACACCCCAGGGAATTTCTGAGCTGCCAAGACAGGAAAGTCCCTGAGCCTTAGGACTTGGGAGAAGTCCAGCCATCAGGCGAGAAGTGGGTCCCAGGTGGGTTTGCATCCTCTGTTGTGCGTCACGCCTCTGTACCTGCGCCGCCGGGGGCGGACAGTCCTCTGGGGGGGCAACTTGAAACCCCCTTTATTAAACCATGCACCTTCTCACTCTTGGGTTACTTAGCTGGGATCCAAGAATCTGACCCTTCACCAGCACTGGGGCCGATGAGAAGCAGGATCTTTAGAGGGTGCCAAGTGGGGGCAGCAGAAGGGTAGGGAAGGTGAGGGGGGGTAGAAGTAGTGCAGGGGAGACTGATTTGACAAAAAGCTGAAAAACACAAGAGCCCCCCGCCCCCACCCAGTGAGTGAATGAGGTGGTGCTCATGGGCTAGAACTAGAGACCCCACACTCCAGTGCCCCATGTCCTTCCATGAACTCATGCCAGGGGCTCACTTGGGGTCTATGGGTGAAACCCCAGAGCCTGCCGACCAATACCAGCATCCAGCAAGCTTGCTACAGCGTGAGGTTGAAGGGGGCCTGTATTTTAGGAATATGCCCTCTGTCCCATCTGGAGAAGTGGTCCCCCCCCCTTGAACACACCTTGTCCTGGGATGACGCCCCTCCTTGCGCGGGCCTCCACATCTGGAAAGGAGGAGGAAAGGAAGGCCCAGGATCCCTCCTTAGAGAGCTGCCCCTCCTCCCATAGGCTGGGCTCTGAGCATGGCCTGGGGGCAGCTGGAGGTGTCACTGAGAACATAGCAGATAGACCACCACCACGAATTTATTCTTAAATAAATGCTCAGTCTAAGGCCAGGTTAGGCAGACAGGTGGGCAGAAAGTGGAGGAAGTGCAGGTCACGGGCACCTCCCCCGCTGTGAGCAGTGGGGGCCCGCTCGGGGAGGCAGGGACTGCCAAGGTAGGCAAGCAGGGTGCTCCGGGTGCAAAGGGCTGACGGAACCATTACAGTCCATTCTGCGTGTGCCGGGAAGGGACAGAAGAACCGATATGGCCACAGTCTCACGGGTGGTGCTGGAAAGCTCAGTGTGGTCCCGAGACCCCACGCCTCCTGCCCCGGGCTCCCCATGCCCAGCTCAGCAAGCGTGGGATCAACCAGCCACCAGCTGGCCTGCTCTGTCACTGTCTTCCCAACAAGAGCTCGGGTTGAGTGGCAACAAAGGGGAGAGGGGATCCCATGCCTGCAACCTGTGTTTTCCACAGAGATCCAAGCTCCCAGCCACCCAAGGCAGGTGCCCCAGGTCTGTCGGGCCTCCTCCGCCTGCCCCAGCTGGCATCCAAGTCCTCTCTCCGGGGGCACTGAAAACACTGGCAGCCCTGGGCCCCAGGGTGCCAGGCTGGCCGGAGCAAAGGGGAGGAGGGCAGAGGTCTTCATGCTCCTTCAGGCAGCAAGACTCAGTGCTGGCGCCCAGGTTCTGACTTCCCCAGGAATTCCCTAGACGAGATGAGCACAGACATCAACCAAACCCTGAGCATATGCCAGAAGTCTTGCCTCCTCCATCCTCAAACAGCCCATCCCAGGAGGCTGAGAAGGATCCTGGAGGACCACCCCCACTCAGAAAGCCTGAGTTAAATAAACAGGGTTAAATCCCAACCCCATAGGAAGAAAGACCAAGCAATGGGCTACTATTCTTTGTTCTAAACTCTAGAGCTGTACTCTGGGCTGTATTTTCTATGACCTATTCCTTTTATGCTGGAAAAATCACAACCCTAGAGCAAACCCATACTCTTTGAGCTCACAGTTCCCTCTCAGCAACCCAGGTCCTTGATGTAGGAAATGGCAAACCACTGAAGAAATGCAGCTTTCCCTCTGGAACTGCTGAGGCAGCCACAGGAGAGCTGAAATGTGAGGGCATAAAACGCCCTGAGGGCCCATACCAACCCCTCCAGGCTCAGCAGCCCCAGGAAGGCGAATTTGCACCATCCCTACCTCAGCATCTTGCAGGCCACATGGCCCGGAAGTGGCAGACTGCCTGTGCCTGGGATGGGAGGCCAGGAGGCCGGGCAGCACCTGAGTGATGGGATTGGTCCCTGCACAAAAGCCCAGGCTCCTGAGGTGGGGCCAGGCCTCATCCAGTTCAAACTGTTCTTTGCCACCATCTTGCCCTGCATGCTTGGGCTCTGCACCTGGGCCCGGGATGTGGGCCATGGACCCAACCGCTGTCCTGGCCCCAGACCATGACAACTGTGGCAGAGCTGGGAGCTCAGCCTCTTTTCACGGAGCAGCTGAGGACAGACAGGCTTTTGAGAGCTGGCCCAGAGTCTCCTGTGTGCCTATGCACAGGGGCAGGACCTAACGGGTGTGTGGGAAGAGACTGAGGCCTGACCCACAGCACCTGGGGTGCACGTCTGCGCGCTGGATGCTCCCGAGTGGTGTGTCTATGCAGCCTGCACAACCCACACCACAGGGAAGTCACTGCCCTGTGTGATCACGGGAGTGCTTCAGGAGAGTGGGGCCATAAACACTCAACCCCTCTCCATGGAGATGGAAGGCTCCCAAGTCACAGCGACTCCTGGCCCCACCGAGGCACACTTAGGGGTGCTGCATGCCTGGCCTGAGCCATCCCCCCCATGGCGAGTCTGTGGAGGGGGGAGAAGCCTCACCGCAGTATCCGTGGAAGTTCAGGGCTCTTGTAGATATACTTGTGCCTGTAGCCGAGGTCTGAGTGAAAAGGGATAAACTGAACTTTGAAGTCTCGGAAGCTTCGGGATGGAGCAGCAATGTTGTAGAGCTGGGACGAGGGAGAGACAGGTCAAAACCACAGATGGCAGCCCTGCCTGGGGGTCTCCCTGCTGCAGAGACCAGTCAGCGGCTGCTGCCTCTGAAGAGCAACCCAAGCCCCCACCAACAACACTGCTGCCCGCAGCCTGCAGGGCCAGGGCGGGGGGCACGCGTACCGACAGGCCTGACGCTCGAGACCCTCTGTCCTAACGCCTCTCTCCCAGATGGCCCCTCCTCAGGGCGCAGCAAGGCGGATGAGCCAGCCTCGTGGGAAGAGCTGCCTGCCATGCAGTGGTATGGAGGCCTGCGTGCCAGAGCAGCCCGGAGGGCTCATCCCAGGGCTGGGCTGTCTGCCTCAGACTTTGCCGTGTGCCTGGGTCACAATCTGTCCTTCCTCAGCCCCTTCCTCCCGCCCCAGAGATGGCCAGGCTCTGCAGGTCTGAGTGGTGGTTGCTGCGCAGTCCCCTGTGCCCAGACTCACTGGAGGGAGGGGACTTGGTCCTGCTGGAACCCACTGGCACCCGGGCCTCACTCCCTCCAGGCTGACCCTGCTCCTCACCATCGCCACGCCAGATGGTGCTATCTCCAACACTCACCCACAAACCGAATGCTGCTTCCTGGCAGCAAAGGCAAAGCAAACTCAGCAAAAGCAAACACAGAGGCCCCACAACAGCATGGTATTCCTGACATCAGTCCCATCCCAAAGGCAAGAGAACAGACAAGAGGTATCAACTCTGCCAACTGGGGCCCCCGCATGGGGGTGGGAGATCCTCTTCCTCGAAGGTTCTCTCCCTCCAGCCTGGCTGAGATCCTGGTAGTCAAGTCTCTGTCAGGCCAGGACCCCTGCACAGGGACCGGGAACCATCTGCTTATTTCTCACATTTCCTCTTGCCATCACTGAAGGTACTGGTGACGAAGTCCACACCCTCTAACTTACCTTTGCTCATAAGACATCACCTGTTTGCCCCCACCCCAACCCTGCTGCTGACCTCTCCCACGCTTCTCTTTTTCACAAGGGGCACCTGGCAGCAGCAGCACCCCTCCACACCCGCGGATGCCCGGTCCAGCCTGAACGGGAGCCAGCTAGATGCCTACCCGCACCAGGGCTAGTGCCCGGCTCTCACCTTTCGGCCAAGCTGGAAGGGCACGACCGGGTCGTCCTCAGCGTGCAGGATGAGCAGCGAGCAGGAGATGTGCTTCACACTGTGGGAGCAGATGGAACTGGACCAAGGCCCCGGGGAGAGGTCTGGGGTCTCTGGGCCCACCTGGGTTTAGTGGGGGCTTCACCATGGTGCTCAACAGCTAGAACTCAACTGGCTTTTCACTAGAGAACTACAAGTAGATTTCTTAGATGTTTCTACCACCACTCAGTCAAGTCTAGAGATCGATTCATTCACCAAATCAGGCCCCTGCGTACTTTTCGGAAATTGAAAATGATTATTTATGCCACTAGACCTATTCTTTAAAAGTTACAGAATGATATTTACAAACCCAATAACAGAGGTGGGCCAAGAAATTTATTGCAAATGAAGGTCACTAGAAATGTGTTGGTAAAAAAGCCCACACCCTCTAACCTGTCTTCATTGAAAATGACATTTAAGGTCACCCTGAACGTTCACAAATAAGTTGATATTTTCAATAGGTTCACACGATCCAAACCCGCCAGCAAACCACGGATGGGCTGTGGGACTGGACAGGCCCCAGAGTGTCTGGCTTCCCCTCACTGAGTAAGCCCGACTTTGGGCAGGACCTGGGCCAGGAGGCTCGCCACCCCACGGACCCAGCCCATCTGGTGACCTGTGCTTCTGCTTGCGGCACACACCTGCGCTCTCCCTGCATTCTGCTTCCAGGGGGGAGTGCTTCTGCTGCGAGGGTCACATTTTGAGAGTGGAACGGCCCATCTTTTCAGGATTTCCACTGTAAGTAGTCTGTCCTAACCCTGACCCACTCTAGAAAACGCCTGGTTCACATGCTATCACCTTAGAGCTGCCCAAGTGGGGGCTTGTGACTTCCTATGGGTGAAATACTGCCATCCCCTCAATGTTCAGCTAGGAGCAGGGCCAAAAGGCGGCTTTGGGGGCCCCAACACTCACTGTGGTGCTTGCTGTTGGAACCCAGTTTCTTCAGATCATTCTTGAAGTTCCAAAACAATAATATTTATAAACAAGCAGGTTTTTTGCTTATGTCTGTTCAATTTTAGTTTGCTCAATTTTTAGAACCAAAACAAATAATTAAAGGGAAAAATATTCCATTTTTTCACATTTATTCCAGAGTGTATTTTTTTAAATGTTAACTGAATATTTATTTTAAGATTTATTTATTTTAGAGAGAGAGTTGGGGGGGAGGGGCACAGGGAGAGAATCTTCAAGCAGACTCCCCACAGAGCCCGACGTGGGGCTCGATCCTACGACCCTGAGATCAAGACCTGAGCTGAAAGCAAGAGTTGACTGCTCACCTGACTGAGCCACCCAGGCGCCCCAATAGAAATATATTTTTTAAAGATTTTATTTATTTGTCAGAGAGTGAGCCAGAGCACAAGCAGGCAGAGGGAGAAGCAGATTCCCCTGCTGAGCAGTGAGCCCGATACGGGGCTCGATCCCAGGACCTGGGATCATGACCAGAGGCGAAGGCAGCCGCTTAATGGCCTGAGCCACCCAGATGCCCCTAAATATTTTTAATAGTGAACTTTGTAACATCCTTCTACAACCGAACAGAAATCAAACGGCTGAAGCGGTGTCATTGTTTGAGTAATAGTCTCCTTATTGCTCTAGAACCTGTCAGGAATTCTGATTCTGATGGACAAGTTTCAAATAAAACAACCACAGGGACATGTTGTCTTCCTGTTGCTTTCATGCCATCATGGCCTTTTCCAATCCCTTCTCTCTCAGCTGTAGCTCTCGGCCTGACCTGCCCTTTACAGAGGTCTGATGGTTAGAGAAGAACCCCAGTATGCAGAATTCCATCCTATTTGGTTAAGGTGACTAGTCCTGGGGGTTCTCAGTGATTTTTTTAAATTGAAAAATGAGGTATTGGGGTCCCTGGGTGGCTCAGTCGTTAAGTGTCTGCCTTTGGCCCGGGTCATGATCCCAGGGTCCTGGGATCGAGCCCAGCATCGGGCTCCCTGCTCTGTGGGAAGCCTGCTTCTCCCTCTCCCACTCCCCCTGCTTGTGTTCCCTCTCTCACTGTCTCTCTGTCAAATAAATAAAATTTAGAAAAAAATCTTTAAAAAAAATAAATTAAAAAAAAGAAAAATGAGGTATTGTAGTAGAGTACTCACTTTTCATCATTTGCAAATTTAATTCCACTGCTTGTAATGGGGTCGAGGAAAAACCAGTCAAACCCAGGAAAATAGCGATATATCTGAAGGCGACATGGAAACAACGTGCAGAAGCATCAATCAGACAGAGGGTGCTGAGTGCCCAAGAGTCTCCCCAGCTTCCGAGTGGACCAAACTGAGGCCCCACCAGAGCTGTGCTGGGGCACCCCGCTGCCCCAGACTCTGTGCTTAAGAGGCTCCCGAACTGGCCACGCGTGGCTGCCCACAAAATGGGCTCCCACAGCTCCCAGCAGCAGCCGGGCAGGACCGGCTCAGAGACCATACTTCCCACAGACGTGAGGGCTTCCACCCCTGGAAAAACAGGGGTCCATGTGACTTGGGAGTAAAGGAACATCAAAAAAGTAAGACTATAGAGGACTCCTCCTGTCTGCAACAGAGCACCGTGAGGTCAGGTGGGGGGCTGACACAGCCCCCCAGAACGGGTGGCCAGCCAAGAAGCAGTGGGACAGAAGAAGACACAGAGGAGCCCCCTCTGGGCCCGGCTTGCAAAAGGAGGTCTCAATCCTGGAAGGTGACGAGGTTCTCAGTCACCCTGGGATCCCCACCAGGGTTCACCCAGGGTGTCACCTGGAGACACGACTGGGAGAGCCTGGCTGCTGAGCACCATCTATGCGGACAGGGAGCAGGGACGCCCACTGGGTCCATGTCTGCGGAAGCAGCCAAGACAGCAGCTGCCCGCCTGGGCTGAGCCCCACGGAGCAAGGACGCCAGGTCAGCAAACCACGCCTCAGACACAAGGCCTCCCGGGGGTCCTGCTGTCCCTGGACTACCCAGCTGTGAACCCGTCCTTCCGCCTGGCTGCAGAGTTCTAAAATTCCCAGGCAGCTCTGTGGTCAGGCCAGTGCCCTGCACTAAACAAGGATTAATTTTTATTTTATATTTTCTTAAGAGTTACCTTGATAGTAATTATTTTAATAATAAAAATAAGTCAATTTTTAATAAGATCTGTACTTGCCACTGAGAACGGATGGCTCTTAGCTTCTTCACGTATATTAGTGAATGGAGATTCCAATATAAGGGCATCTGGAGGTGTCTCTAAATAAACAAACAGGGGGCTGTGAGGCGAACAAGAAGCCCCCACAGACGCCCATGGGAGAGACTGGTCCCCCAGACTGGACCGTGGATCCCAGGCGCCACCCCCACTAGCCGCTCCCCCCCACCCCAGCCAGCCTTGCCCCACAGACCCTCCTGCACGGTAGGTACATAAGAAGGCCCCACCCAAGGGACTCTCAGGTGGCTGTGATTTACTCCCAAGAACCACATTTACTGAAGCTGTGTATCAGGAGCCCAGCCTTGATGAGGCTCTCCCAGCTGCTTGAGAACCCATGGGGAACACAGGCTGGGGTCCGCTGGGGGTTTACCCAGATCCTGGCCTCCAGGCCCAGCCCACAGGGCTCCGAGATGACACCAAGCCCTGTTGCTGTGCTGCTCGTCCATCAGGGCCCACCTCCCAGGAACCCACAGCGGAGCCTGGGGCACGGCGAGTGTGCGCAGACACACCATGCGCCCTGCCTGAGCCCTGGGACCAGGAGGGGCCCATGCCTACCCAACCAGCACTCATACCTCCACATAAGCTCCTACCTCGCTCACAAAGGCGCCGCACCAGATTTGTTGCCACTCTGAAAAGGGAGGAAGAAACAGTTCAGGTGAATGATGACCAAAGTTGTCTGAGATGAGACTGTTCTAGTCTTGTAAGTGACCAGAGAAGCTGTGGGATTTGTGAAGCAGCTGGTGGGGTTTGGGGCTGGGGGAGGGTGTGGACAAAGATGCCCCACGACTGTGACTGGTCCCTGCTGCCCCTGCCATCAGCCACCCTCTCCGACCAGGATGGCAATGACAGCCCCCAGACCTCTTGCCGTCCCAGGACCACACTGGGCAGGTCCCACGCAGACAGCTGTGGCAGGATGGCCTGCTCCCCGCTCTGCCTGGGTCCCTCTCTGTAGGCATGCAGCTCACTCTCCTGGCAGGCCCCATCCCAACTGCAGCATGCCATCCAAGGTGAGCAGCAAGGGGAGGAAGGAGCCACAGCCACTGCACCCAAAGGAAAGGCCACTGGAAAAGGGATGGCTGCTGAAGGCCTCGGGACTCCGGGCACTGACAGCAGCGCTCCTTTTAGAAACACTCTCAACCTTCCATCAGCAGAAGCGATGCAGGCAGCCCCAAATGGAATATTAAACTGCCTCCCCAATCTTGGCAGATGTAGGAAGGGAACCACCCACTGCCTCCCCTAAGTTCTCTTGTAAGCCAAGAACAGACTAAGTGGCCAAGCTGTTCACAAACATCCCTAGTCTGCATGTGATCAAAGCCCCGACCCTCAGGCTTGCCAGCCAGCACCTGTACTCCAAAGCCAGGCGATACAAAGCCCAAGTGCCCAGTCTCATTCTGCCCTGAGGCACACCCTGGGACTGAGACGAGTGTGCCCCTCCTCCCTGCAGAGGGACACGGCCACCCCACAGCTGCCTGTGTGTGTGTCTCAGGTCACTTCTTTGGTTGAGGAGTTAAAGTAGCTCAAGCTCTTCACGGTCTTTTGTGGCACTTCATCCCCTGCCCCCACCATGGGAATGAGGGACAAGGCTTGTTGGGACTCATGGCGTCATGGGATCCAGAAGCCACCAGGGCACTTTTGGAGAGACCGAAACGCCCCATGAAAACCTGCTTCCCCATGGTTCCACCACGCTGTGAACTCACCCAGTGCCTAGGGAATGACCCCAAATATACACAGGGTTGTCTCCACTTCTTGCTTTGATCCAGTCAAAAACATGAAGTGCGTCATACGTCATGCCTCGCTCTGATGGCGTTCCTACTGAGTCACCCCAACCTGGTGGGGGAGAAGCAGCAAGAGGAGGAAGTCAAACCCAGCCCATGGAACCTCTTGGGCAGGCTCATCTTCTCCTTTCTCAACAGGCAGCCTAGGCCTGTCCTGGGCAACAGAAGTCTCTGCTACCATCATTCACAACCCCATGCGAGGGGAGTCTGGACAAGCCTGCTCTTCCTCAGCCAGCTACAACCCCTGAACCCAGAGAGCCATCCATACACCCTTATCTGAGTCCCGAAGAACAACTACGCAGACAGGGCAATCAGACCCACAGACTCCTGTGGGCAGATGGTACAGCAAACTCCCCAACCCTTAGGGCTTGCTGAGAGCCAGCCCAAGATGAAGGGCCAGTGAGACCCCAGCCTGCCCAGGAGCCCTTGCAGAACAGGAGCATTCCCAGGGGGGGTCCCTGAGCCCAGTTTGGATTCCATGGCCAGCTGCAGCCCAGCTAAAGACAGATGTGGGGAGTCAAGCTGGGGGCGGGGTAAGATTCCAGGCTCAAGGCAACTCTGACCCAGAAAGGGAAGAGGCTGTTAGAATAGCAGAGAAAAGTTAACCATCTCTGCCTGCATCTTCCCCCCGGGGCCCTCCCCCCAGGCTCTTGGAAAGGGTAAGTGCCACTGTCATTTCTAGCAACTCAGCAGTGAGTCATCATCAAATGATCTGAAAGCACCACAAGGCTCAGAAAGAGCCAGTTCTGCTGCATAAGCAAAACCCACAATTAGTGGGCACAATAAGCCACCTCCCCTGGGCATCCCAGATGCCAGATGAGGGAAGGGACTACGTGAGAGACAAGACCATCCTGAGAGGTTCAGGGTGTGGATAGGAGGAGGGGATACAGAGACAGAGACTGGGAGAAGTGGAGCTTAGAAATGCAGAGACGTGATGAGAACCGGAAAGAGGAAGTGGTATGAGGGATTTCACTTCCTGGTAGAAGCACAAGGAGGTAAACAAGGAAGAAGGCCGCTCTTTCTATCACCGGTGCTGAGGTCTCTAGCACCCTGCAGGAATAGAAAACCCTTTTTAGCACAGAAAAAAGGGTAAGTGGGTGAACTACTTTCTAGATCCTGATCTGTAGTTTTCCCCAACCCAGAACTTGCAAATAGTCTTCTGTGAAAGAGCCATCCCTGCAGTAGGCAGGACCACTACCCCCCTCCCCACCAGAGGTCTGTGTGCTCATCCCTGGAGCCTGTAAATATGTTAAATTATGTGGCAAGCACAGAGCGGGACTGAGGCTGCAGAAGGAAATGAGGGCGCTGATCAGTGGACTATGACATGGGTGATTACAGGCTTACCAGCGTACAAAGTAATCACAATGGTCTACTGGACAAGTGAGAGAGGAAGACCAAAGTCAGGGTCAGAGACCAGACTCAAGAGACCATGAGCTGAGGCACAAGGACAGCTTCGAGCAGCTGGAAAAGGCAGGGAACTGGATTCTCCCACAGCACCTCCTGAAGGGCCTGGCCCTGCCAACACCTGGATTTTAACCCAGCAGCTAAAGATTTTGGACTTGTGACCTCCAGAACTGCAAGATAATAAGTCTGTGCTGTTTGAAGACATCAGGTTTGTGGCAATTTGTTACAGCAGCAAGAAGAAACTAACACGACGCCTGTACCCTCAGTCTTAGGGTATTGACACCACTACCCTCCCCCAAGGTCAGGCCACGCAGGCCAAGCAGCCCTCTGACCTCTGACCTCTGCCACTGAGACTACAGGAGGCCCACGCTTCTCACAGGGCAGCTCCCGGTCAGTACAAAGTATTTTCCTGGCTCATTAAGGTGCACCGTTTTTAGCCTACAATAACTGCGGGTTCTCCGTCTATTCAGCGGCAAAGGCCCTCTGGTTCTTTTTCCTGCTTTCAGAACTTTAACAAGACCAGCTCTTCTGCCCACAAAATGTGTCCGATGACCAGCTTTGGGGGAGTCTGAGTCCAGTAAAGAAAAGACAGTATTTTCTACATTTAAAACGTTGCTGAGGGATGCCCCTCGTCTGCCTGCAGGACACACGTGGGAGGACTCTGTCCCCTCACCCCCTTACTACCACACTCGCCATCACTGCAGGTCAGGGCACCACCTCGGCTTCCCAGGGTGACGCCTACACAGCAGACCCTGACTGGAGCGGTGCGACAGCCCAGACTTGCACTTGCAAAAAACTCACCTCTGTAGTCAAAGGTGACCACGTGGTAACCAAGGGAACTCAGCACCTGGAAAGTGAAAAATAAATACCTGGGCAACAAATCCACACATCTTGGATTGAGGGCAGCTTGCCTCTTACTAAACCCAGCCTGATGTCAGTCTTTGTGCCCTGCACACAGTGGAAGCTTAATAAAGACTGTTATGACGCTGCCCATTCCCCATTATAAAACCCACACGTCGGCCGCTGCTACAGGACACGCTGATGCCCTCTGCCTCTGGGATATGGAAAGAACAGCTCTCCTGTGGCTCAGACTACATTCACACAGGTAGCCCCCCCAGGGCAGACACCCTAAGACCAGAGACCCAGGAGGAGGGGCTCTACGGTCAGAGACTGCATCCGGGATCCTTACTGCAACCTAGCATTTCTGACTGTAAGCTTTTGCTGAATTTTTCCATTATTAAAAACAAAATCCCTCTAGATGACGTGTTCTCCTGGACTAGATGATTACTCACAGCCCCCACCTGAGCCTTCCTGGGCTGTGCCCAGAGCCATGTGGAAGCGGCCAGCCACCAACATCCCCCAAAATCACCTGAGGGAGGTGTGCCCCTTTCTCCTTCGCCGGCCCCAGTGCAGCCTGTGGCAGCCACTTCCCTCCAGTCCTGAGCCTCCCACAGAGTCTGCCCTCACCAGGGCCACAGCTGCTCCAGGTGCGAACCTCAACCAGGGACCACAGCTCTGCAAGCGCACCCCCTCCCCGACTTAATCCAATTCAATCGAGGCACAAACACTCCCATGGCCCATAGCAGCACCTGTCCTCAGTGTATGAGGGACAGAGCGCTGCCCACAAGATGCAGATGTTCCCTCGCATTTGCTTCTGTCCGTCTCTGCCAGGTTAGCAGAGGGGAGGCTGAGGGAGATGGCCCTGCAGGCAACCACACATTTCCGGCTCTGAGCGCCTAGCTGGGAGACCCACTGGCCCCTCCACCAGGTCAGCCTGGAATCTGGTTCTAAGGTGAGACTTTGGTGTGGCAGAACTCCTGACCCTGCAACTTGGCAGGAGTGTGGCTCCCTGGCCCTGGGTGCTCTCCATTCGTTTTACAAGAGAAACGCAGCATTTAACAATTTCAAATGCCTTCAATATAACTGCCAATATCTGGCATATGATCCCCAAAGTGCATTCATTCCGCTTTCGGCAGCTCTCCCTGGAGGCAGCATTACAGGAGGCGTATAATGTTTATATAAGAAGCATTCCATGGTAGAGGCTTCCATGAATGCAGTGTTGGAAAGGCCAATGCTGATCAACTCTCTCACAAGTACTGGAGGGACTCCCCTCTGCACATGCCTCCTGGGAAGAGCAGGTGGGAAACACGACTTGGGCGATGCGCTTTCCTTCCTATGCCATGTGGATACCACTCTCCCCGCATACACACTACGTATGTGGCTCTGCCCTTCATATACCCCTGTACACAAATCTGCCCATCGACACCCTGTGAATGCCACTGTGCATGTTCTACACTGTGTGCACGCCGCTCTCCCATCACACACACCGTGCGCGCCGCTCTCCCATCATCAAACCGTGCACGCAGCGTGTACTCAGCTCTGCCCCATCATACAGCCTATGGACACCCCTCTGTCATACATTGTGTGCCATATTCACCTACCTTGTAAAGTTCCACCCGGTGGTCACCTCCTCTAGAGTGTCAGGGAAAAGGAAACAAGAATGGGTGTTAGCACATCTTCTCAAAAAGGCCAGCCCCAGGGTCAGTACTGGAGTGTCTGGGTCCTTGGTGACTTGGTCCCCAAGTCCATACAGGGAGGGTCATTGGGGGACAGGTGACCTCCTCTGCACAGCATCATAGTGGCTCCATGCTTGTTTCTGGCAGTACCGTGACAAGCAAGGGATAGTGTTAGCATTTGGGGGATATTTCTTAATTATTGCCTTACCTCTATTTTTGACTAGCTAATACATAGGTACAATACACAATCCAGAAGACACAAGAGGATACACAGCAAGTCCCCGACTCCTGCCCAGCACGCAGCCCCTCCCTCAGCTCCCTGGTGACCAGCAAGTAGGCAGAAGTGAAGGCACTTCTTTATACGACATACGCACTCTACTTTCTCTCACTTTTCACTCAGTAATTCACAGCCAACTTTCAGAACTCTTTTTAGCGGTGGTTCACACCTTCCTTATCTTGCAGTCGTTCTGGCCCTTTCCTACCTGCTGTGAACCTAAGTTTTACTGCCATGGCCAGCTCGTGCTGATGTCCTTTTGCATAAGTGTGCTCCACGTGTGGGATACGTTCCTACACATGGAACTGCTGGGTGGAAGGTGTGTGTGATCATAAGCTTGACAATTACTGCCCAGCTGTCTTCAGAGGGGCCCTGGCCCATCTCCTACCCCTGCACCCACAGATTAGTGTGGAATGGGCACTTCTTATTACAGACACTAAACAGGCATTCATGCATCCAAACTGTTTCGTGTGTCTATACTTCTTTGTCCGAGCACTACCTATCCCTTCTCATGCTTTGTGCAGCTGTTGGTTGGCTATTACTGTGAACAGACACCAAAGTGGGGACGGGGCCACCTCAGGAAGGAGAGCATGTCAGCGGGTGAACTCACCCTCTCCAGACTTTTTAGCAGTTTTCCTGCTCACTTTTATGGTGAGCACCCTGGCAACTTTGCTGTGTGTATGTTGGGGGGGGGGGGTGGGGGGAGGGCAGGGAGTGTCCCTGAGAGAGACAGGGATGAGACAAAGGGGGAAAACCAATGCAATGCGGCCACAGAAATACAAGGGAATGAGTTTCAGGACCAGAAGGAAATACTGAAAAATGTTTTCAGTTATCTTTGGAAAAGTTCATGGTGGCTCTTGTCTAGGTTGTTTAAATTCCCTACCTCGAGCAAAAAGAAGAGGGGTTTAGCATGTGACAGTGCACAGCAGTAGCCGGGGACTGGCTCTCGGGGAGCCAGGGCTGCTGTAATCCTGCCAGGCCGAGGGGGGGCTGCTCTCTGGAGACAGGGGAGAGGGCAACAACACTTTCAAAGTCACAGTGTTCCCTCAAACCTGAAGTTTAGGCAGACTTTGTCTCTTTTACCATGTGACTGGCATTGCTTAACTGAACCTTACTCCCAGTAAACTACAAAATTTTCTCATTTATAGGAAGATGCTCCCAGAGTGGTTATAACCACTTGCTCTTTGAAAAGCAGAAGAGAAACCCACTGTAGCTTGTCCCAGACAAAGAAGAAAGCAAACTACCAAGTGCATGCACGATTCAGCAGCTAAATGCTCTGCGGCCTCACACAGCATCCTCACAGCCCACACTTCCCGGACTTCCTGCAGTGTGCACTGTGGAGCCCCTCTGCCCCGACACCACCAGGGTCTGCTTGCTGCCCTCCCGCCCCCCACAAAGGCCTGTGAATTGATCTCTTTGTTGGTTCTGCCTATAGAATGACATACCTCCAGCCCAACCTGGCAGCCATGGCACCCCGCTGACCCTTCCCCGGGCCCTGTAGTAGCCCTGCCTCCTGCCGGCTCCTGCCAGCTCACTCACGCGCCCTAAGGAAGCTGCAACAACACTGACCCTCCTGGGGCTTCTCAGACAATGCTGTTTGGAAAATGTACCTCCTCCTTCACCCACACTGCTCTCCCAGAGATTCTTCTGAACAAGGCCAACCATGTGGGTAGACAAAGCCAATTCCCAATGAATCTGAAGGACATGCCGTTATAGCCACTCTTTTTTTTTTTTTTTTTTTTTAAAGACTATTTGAGAGAGAGAGGGAGCACGAGTGCATGAGCAGGGAGAGGGAGAAGCAGACTCCCCGCTGAGCAGGGAGCCCGAGGTGGGACTCGATCCCAGTACCCTGGGATCATGACCTGAGCCAAAGGTACACGCTTGACCGACTGGGCTACCCAGGTGCCCACAAAGCCACTCTTGAAAAGCATCTGGGATAAACTTGAGCAAAGCCTTGGTCTGCCACAGACAGTGCCTCAGCAACAGCCCGGCAGGATACACTGGCATTGCTGGCTTACAGATGAGAGAGAACTCACACCCATCACCCAACCTGACAGCATGGTGGGGCGGCCTGGGAGGATGAGTTCAACTGTGTGCACTCAGCTGGGGTCCCTCTGGCCTCCCTCTGCTTTCAGCCAACCCTCCTTTGGTGTCACCCTGACTCCTTCTCAGCACTCACTGCCCCTTGCCAGGAAGTGTGCCTCTGCCCCAGAAGGGCATGCCTGCCTGCGACCCTCAGACGGGGCTGACACACACAGCTGGTGAACAGGAGACAGCATTCCCCGGGGGCGCTGCGGCTCTGAAGTGTCACCGCGACCCCTCTGAGGAACCACCGCTCCTTACTCACTGAGAAGCCTTATTCCCTAAGTCACTGGCCCTCACTTTGCCCTTCAAATTACATCAGGAGGAAGGAAACACCCCACTCTGGCCGAGGATCCGGGTCACTGTGACAGAGACACAGCCTCCTCCATTCCACCCAGGTGCGAGCCCCAGATAAGGGGTGTCTGGACACAGCTTCCCACATCTGCTTAACACGGGGTGTGGGGGTGGTTTTCCAAAGAAACTGCACCTGAGCCCACCTTGCATACAGCTCTGCTCTGAGCCTGTGGGAACACTGCTTCATGGGAGTTTCACGCTGACCCCTTTCCCCCAAATCCCTTAAACTCTGCCTTTTCCTGTGTTCTTGGGATGCTCCACGGCCCCACTGTCTGTACACTCCCTCACTGCAGGGCATCAGTAGACCCGACCGGGCCAGCACTGCAGGGAGGACATGCTACGCAGGCTCCTCTTCCTCACCTTGTGCCTGCATTCCCATGCAGGTACAGGATGATAGGGCAGCTGGAAGCCAAGGCGTCCTCGTACCACATCTGGTCCTTTCCTTGGGCATCCTTCCACCAGACAGCGGGGACAGTGTGCCTGGAAACAGAAGCAGAGTGGAGTGGCATGATCAGATGAGGATGACTACTGACAGAACGACAAAGGATCAGAGTCACAACTGAGCACAGAGCAGGACGGGTGGGGCTGGGGAGGCAAACTGCCCCCATGACCAGAAGAAATAACTCAGAACTCCAAGCTAGAGTGATGGCTTCTGACAGCCTTGGTAGGAGATTTCCTGACTTATACCTGGGCCCCTCGGGGCCACAGAAGCTTCCTCTGGTAGCAGGTGGGCAGGGGGTGGGGGTGGAGTTTCTCCCGTGTGAACTGTATACTCTGTAAGGTAAGATCTAGTCCAGCTCGCTCACCAGGACTTCACCTGGGCCTCACACAGAATGAGTGCTTAATACATACTAGCTAAGTAACATCATTTCCCCTCATACATACCCATATTTTTAAGCTGCAATTTTTTACTTATTTTTATTTAAATTCAATTAACATATAATGTATTATGAGTTTCAGAGGTAGAGTTCAGTGATTCATCAGTCTTATATAACGTCCAGTGCTCATCACATCATGTGCCCTCCTTAACGCCCATCACCCAGTTACTCCATCCCCCTACCTCCCTCCCCTTCAGCAACCCTTAGTTTGTTTCCTATGATTCAGTCTCTTATGATTTGTCTCCCTCTCTTATTTCATCTTGTTTTATTTTTTCCTCTCTTCCCCTATGATCCTCTGTTTTGTTTCCTAAATTCCACATATGAGTGAAATCATGTAATTGTCTTTCTCTTATTGACTTATTTTGCTTAGCATAATACCCTCCAGTCATCCATGTCCATGTAAATGGTAAGTATTCATCCTTTCTGATGGCTGTGTAAGATTCCATTGTATGTATGTGTGTGTGTGTGTGTGTGTGTGTATACACACGTATAGATCAATAGAACATTGATATATATATATACACACATACTACTTCTTTATCCATTCATCTGTTGGTGGACATCTGGGCTCTTTTCATAGTTTGGCTTTTGTGGACATTGTTGCTATGAACATTGGGGTGCATGTGCCCCTTCAAATCACTGTTTGTATCCTTTGGATAAATACCTAGTAGTGCAATTGCTGGGTCATAAGGTAGCTCTACTTTCAACTTCTTGAGGAACCTCCCTTACTGTTCTCCAGAGTGGCTGCACCAGCTTGCATTCCCAACCAACAGTGTAGGAGGGTTCCCCTTTCTCCGGATCCTCACCAACATTTGTTGTTCCCAGTCTTGTTAATTTTTAGCCATTCTGACTGGTGTGAGGTGGTATCTCATTGTGGTTTTGATGTGTATTTCCTTGATGCCAAGTGATGTGAAGTATATCTTCATGTGTCTGTTGGCCATCTGTATGTCTTCTTTGAAGAAATGTCTTTTCATGTCTTCTGCCCATTTCTGACTAGATTATTTGTTTTTTTGGGTGATGAGTTTGATAAGTTCTTTATGTATCTTGGATAGTAGCCTTTTATCTGATATGTCATTTGCAAATATCTTCTCCCATAATGTAGGTTGCCTTTTAGTTTTGTTCACTGTTTCCTTTGCTGTGCAGAGCTTTTTATCTTAAGTCCTAATAGTTCATTTTTGCTTTTGTTTCCTTTTGTATCGGAGACATAACTAGCAAGAAGTTGCTGTAGCCAAGGTCAAAGAGGTTGCTGCTTGTGTTCTCCTCTAGGATTTTGATGGATTCCTGTCTCACATTTAGGTCTTTCATCCATTTCATGTTTATCTTTGTGTATGGTGTAAGAAAGAGGTCCAGTTTCATTTTCCTGCATGTGGCTGTCCAATTTTCCCAACACCATTTGTTGAAGAGACTGTCTTTGGGAACAAAGACTGTCTTTGGATATGCTTTCCTGCTTTATTGAAGATTACTTGACCACAGAGTTGAGGGTCCATTTTTGGGTTCTCTATTCTGTTCCATTGATCTATGTGTCTGTTTTTGTGCCAGTATCATGCTGTCTTGATGATCACAGCTTTGTAATATAGCTTGAAGTCGGATATTGTGATGTCCCCAGCTTTGGTTTTCTTCAACATCCCCCTGGTGATTCAGGGTCTTTTCTCGTTCCATACAAATTTTAGGATTGTTTGTTCCAGCTCTGCGAAAACGGCGATGGTATTTTGATAAGGATTGCGCTGAATGTGTAGATTCCTCTGGGCAGCATAGACATTTTCACAATGTTTATTCTTCCAATCCATGAGCACGGAATGTTTTTCCATCTCTTTGTGTCTTCCTCAATTTCTTTCAAAAGTGTTCTGTAGTTTCTAGAGTATAGATTCTATACCTCTGTGGCCAGGTTTATTCCTAGGTATCTTATGGTTTTTGGTGCTATTGTAAATGGGATTGATTCTTTAATTTCTCTTTCTTCTGTCTCATTCTTAGTGTATAGAAATGCAACTGATTTCTGTGGATTGATTTTAAAACCTGCTACTTTGCTGAATTGCTGTATGAGTTCTAGTAATATTGGGGTGGAGTCTTTTGGGTTTTCCACATAAAGTATCATGTCATCTGTGAAGAGAAAGAGTTCAACTTCCTCTTTGCCGATTACACAGATGCCTTTCATTTCTTTTTGTTGTCTGATTGCTGTTGCTAGGACTTCTAGTACTATGTTGAATAATAGTGGTGAGAGTGGGCATCCCTGTCGTGTTCCCGATCTTAGGGGAAAAGCTCTCAGTTTTTCCTCATTGAGAATGATATTCACTGTGTGCTTTACATAGATGGCTTTTACGATATTGAGGTATGTACCCTCTATCCCTACACTATGGAGAGCTTTAATCAAGAAAGTATGCTGTATGACACATGAGTGTGGACAACTATCATTAAAAAATTTTGGAAATTCTGCCTTCTCCAAAATTTAACTGAAAATATATAGAAGAAACCAGAGGTATTTTATAATTGATTTATATTTTATAATTGATGTTTTGTATAATGCACTGAAGAGGACAGAATTTTTTTGAAAACATTTTTTAAAAAACCAAAAAAGTAGGATGGGAAGTATACAGCTTTAGGAATCAGAATCTTGACAACACTCTGCCTTTTGTCACCTTAAGCAAGTAGCATTTAACCCCTTGTAGACACTGTTTATTGCTCCAGAACAAATGAAATAATACATTTGTATATAAAACTGCTTTGTGCAAAAAAATGTGCTTTGTGCATTATAACATGCAATATGGAATTAAGTTAAATAGAATTTTAGGTTCTCTTCTGGAGGCCATGCCCAACCAGGGAGATTTGTTAGAATATAGGAGGGGCCAATGAAGGAGAGGTATGCAAATATTAGGGTATGATTTGTTAGAAAAACAAAAGTACCACATTTTTATAATAAAAATATTGGAGAGTGTAAAAAAAAAGTATGCTGTATTTTGTCAAATGCTTTTTCTGCATCAATTCAGAGTATCATAGGGTTCTTGCCTTTCTTTGACTTATGTAGTCTATCACAGATTGGTTTGTGGATGTTGAACTATCCTTGCAGCCGAGGAATAAATCCCACTTGGTCGTGGTGAATAAACCTCTTACTGTATTGTTGGATCCTATTGGCTAGTATCTTGGTGAGAATTTCTGCATCCATGTTCATCAGGGATATTGGTCTGTAATTCTCCTTTTTGGTGGGGTCTTTGGTTTTGGGATCAAGGTAATGCTGGCTTCTAGAGTTTGGAAGTTTTCCTTCCATTTATATTTTTTGAAACAGCTTCAGAAGAATAGGTATTCATTCTTTAAATGTTTGGCAGAAGTCCCCTGGGAAACCATCTGGCCCTGGACTCTTGGTTTCTTGGGAGATTTTTATTTACTGCTTCAATTTCCTAGCTGGTTATGGATCTGTTTGGGTTTTCTATTTTTTCCTGTTTCAGTTTTGGTAGTTTATATGTCTCTAGGAATGCATCCATTTCTTCCAGATTGCCTAATGTGCTGGCACATATTTGCTGATAATATGTTCTTATAATTGTTTATATTTCTTTGGTGTTGGTTGTGATCGCTCTTCTTTCATTCATGATTTTATTTATTTGGGTCCTTTCTCTTCTCTTTTGGTAAGTCCGGCCCGGGGTTTATCAATCTTAAAATTCTTTCAAAGAACCAACTCCCAGTTTTGTTGATCTGTTCTACTGTTCTTTTGGTTTCTATTTCATTGATTTCTGGTCTAATCTTTATTATTTCCCTTCTACTGGATTTAGGCTTTATTTGCTGGGCTTTTTCCCCCAGCTCCTGTAGGTGTAAGGTTAGGCTGTGTATTTGAGACCTGTCTTGTTTCTTGAGAAAGGTTTGTATTGCTATATACTTCCCTCTTAGGACCACCTTTCCTGCGTCCCAAAGGTTTGGAACAGTTGTGTTTTAAGTTTCATTAGTTTCCATGAATTTTTAAATTCGTCTTTAGTTTCCTGGTTGACCCATTCATTCCTTAGTAGGATGCTCTTTAGAATCCATGTATGTGAGTTTTTTCCAAATTTCCTCATGTGATTTAGTTCCAGGTTCAAAGCATTATGGTCCAAAGATATGCATGGAATAATCTCAATCTTCTGGTACTGGTTGAGACCTGATTTGTGACCCAGTATGTGATCTATTGTGGAGAATGTTCCACGTGCACTTGAGAAGATGTGTATTCTTTTGCTTTAGGATGGAATACTCTGGATATATCTGGGAAGTACAGTCCAGTGTGTCATTCAAAGTCCTTGTTTCCTTGTTGATCTTCTACTTAGATGATCTGTCCATTGCAGTGAGTGGGGTGTCCCCTACTACTGGGGCACCTGGGTAGCCCAGTCAGTTAGCATCTGCCTCCAGCTCAGGTCATGATCCCAGGGACCTGGGACCGGGGATCAAGCCCCGCATCAGGCTCTTTGCTCAGTAGGGAGCCTGCTCCCCACCCTTGTGCTCTCTATGTCAAATAAATAAATAAAATCTTTTAAAAAAATAATAAAGTCCCTTACTATTATTATATTATTATCGACGTGTTGTTTAATTTTATTATTAACTGGTTTATGTAATTGGCTGCTCCCATTTAGGGGTATAAATGTTTACAAT